GTCTCATTGTTGCCCCTCTGGTGCACCTGTTGTTAATTTCATTAACCTCGAAGCAGCTGAAACTGATTAACAACCCTCTGAAGCAGCAGTAAAGCAAGATGTTCTTGCACCTCATTGGAGGTGAGCATGTCACTAGCATGTGCATGATGTGCATGCACAGTAAAGACAATGAATCCGATCTCTTATATGAGAACCACCTGTGTATTTTCATCTCATTTTAATTCACTTTTGCATACACTTGTTTCAGCCGCTGAATTCACTCAGCTCATGTTGGTGAAATATTTTCCTGCAGTTTGCACTCCTCACTTTCTATGGGTCACCAGAAGAGCACATGCATTATATATATACTGAATATATTTTCTTCACTGCTTGTTACAAGTAAAAATGACATTGGGTCCAGTGGGATAGTGACTCAATATTTTTTTCCAATCTCCTCTTTATGTGAGCTCCCAAAGTCCCCACAGTCCCCGTCTGTCCCAGAAGATATGTGAATCGTCTCAAGATAATCCACTGTCAGTGGCATCCTAAAAAAATCATCTCATTTTTATCTTCCTGTCAGACTCTTCCCATCAATGACCGTCTTTGTCGAAACTCCTACAGATATCTTCCTAAATCCCATCAGGGGTAATTATATGTAAATCCATCTCTCATTTCACTTTGTGGTGCTGTGTGAGCTGTGCATGTTTATCATTTAGAAAATATTTTTCAGTATTTTATTACTTTACACATATTATGGCATTTAACATGTTCATGGGGTTTAAAAGAAAGAAAAAAGGAAAAACCTGCCATCGCCTGACGTGAATAGTTAAAAAAAAATGCCTGGTAAAAAATCCTCTATCTAGCACCACCGGATGAGTATTTGGACTCTTGCTGAATCAGCAACATGTCAGATGGTACAGACCTCACTTTCACCTTTTCACTGGTCCCCACACAAGTTTTCCTGTTTAGATTACCCATGTACTGGACGGCTACAGCGCTCATATCTGCACTCTCTGGAGGGTTTGTGAGTGATGGAGAGATTTTTAGGGCTGTCATACCTCTCCTGTCCCCAGCATGGCTGTCATGATTAACAAGCATTTCCCAATAGAAGAAGAATAAAGTTCACTAGCCAGCCTCTCAAACTGAAAGAGCCCGGTGCCAGTGGAGACGTTATTTAGGAGGTTCCAAGAAAACAACCCCCTCGCTCTCAAGCAGCCCGGATTAGTTGTTTACAACTGCTTTTACCTCCTGTGCTACGAGTGGTCTCCTGGCCACAAAGTAGAAACAGGAAATCTGTATGTGGTTTCTAACCACAGTCTTATTTTCATTCGCTACTCATATCTCAGGCCCAGACTCAGAGCCTCACTCACATTAAAGCATAAACACATTAGAAAAAAGTTGTTTTTACTTCGCATGCATGTGTCAACACACAGGGTGCACAGCTGACAGCAGAGCCATCATAAAGCACACGCTTATGAAACAAATAGAATAAAAGATTAAAAGAGCAGGTGGTGGCTGTCGGCTGCTCTGTGCTGGCGTCATCCTGAGTGCACTGATACTCGAGTTTGAGATAAACCTGGATCCATAAATATCACTTTTGATTAAGTACAGTTTGGATTTGGCAAATTACAAACCAAGTCTCTCTCTAAAGTCTTTACCATCTATTTTTTAAGTCATTTTGTAGATTTGGGTTGGAATTTCTTTTTTCTTCTGATGTTTTGTCTGCCATCTAGTGGGGGCCTTAAAAATAAAGTTCTGTCTGGGTACTCCATCTTCCTCCCATCCTTCCTTTTTTAAATTGTCTTTCCAGTTTACTGGTGAGAGAGAATATCAACCAAAAATCCAGAAAAACACAAGTTATAAAATACAAAGATTTGTATCCTGTCGCAAGTGGCAGCATATATCTAATCAAGCACTCTGACTGCATTTTTTAATACTATTTTATGTACATATATACACATTCCAGAGAGAAAAGACTAGCAGCTCGCAGCTCTACCCCTCAGCCTCCTGGTAGATGCAAACTATGTGATTAATTTAATAATTAAAATCCTACGTCTCCTTGGTTTGTCTACACCAACCTCCTGCCCAGCTGGGTCATGACAATACTGAATCAGCCTTTCACGGTTGAGGGTTAAAAACTATATTTTTATTTAGATTTTACTTCTTTACATCTTTTAAAGTTATGGCTTAAAATAGAAAAAGAGCTCAAATGACCTAAGACACCAAATAAAGTAATGTTCCCTTGCCCAGCTGCCAGCTGTTTTTAGCTTATACAGGAAGAGAACACTTATTCGTCATGTGAACTTTCCATTTCTGTATTTCAGTTTTGACAATGACTCATAAGGTGCCCATTTTTTATTACAATCAACTGAAAGTTAAGACTGAAAAATGTGCAAAAAACCAGAAAGACTTCAAAAGACTTTTTTCAAATATTATAATATAATTTTTTTTTAAATAAAGCCCCACTGTGCTTAGATATAAAGCCCTCATCCTTCAGATTAAGTTCTGAAGTTAAGCTATTTTAAGTATATACACGGACACAGAACACAAAGTGCTCCTCATTCACTTCGTCCTCTTCCTTTTTCTTTGGCCATTAGAGAGTTGATGGTTTGCAGCTCTGCAGAGAACCTCTCATTAAGATCTTTGTTGGTTTGCAGGAACCCTCCCAGACTCTTCAGCCGCTCTGTGTCCTAAAGAAGAAGCAGTCAGCAGAAGTCATGAAACATACTCCTTTTATGCATTATGTGTAAAATGCATAAACAGAAATGAAGGAAGGCCTTCTTTTCCTTTTCCCACCTGTGTCTGGCTATCAGTATCCTCATCAGCAGCTTGCAGCAGCTCCTGCAGAATCTCTTCCAGCAACTCAGCTTCCCATTGGCCGACATCAGCATCCGACTCCTTATGGCTGACAAAATCAACCTCTAATCCATCGTCCAAGCCACCAGAATCCATTTGATCCACATCAGACACATATATTGACAAATTGAGGGTCAGCATCTGGGAAAAAAAAATACACAGAAACTGTTACAGAACACAAACACACACAGACACACACACAGACAATAGTTCGCTTCTATTGCAGGGCATTTCCAGCGGTGGCGCTACACAAACACGCTTACCTCGTCTATTTTGTTTCCAACTGTTCCCATCTCAGGTACGTCTCTGAATTGATTCACAAAGTGGTTCAGAGCGGTCCAGTAGTGTTCTATCCAATCATCTGTCACATGGTACTCAGAAGAATGCATCAGCTCGTTCCTGCATCGGATCACCTGGAAGCAAACAAACACGTTACAGAGTACTGGTTAAAACTATCATCACACTCTTTCAAGTCAATCTGACCAGCCATAGCAGGAATACAACTCTGGAAAATTATAAGACAACAACTGAATTCAATTGGAAAAAGGTATAAAGTTTTTACATGACTAACAGAAAACGTAAAAAGTGCCCGTTTGAACAAAAATCAGTGAGTACCTCTCTGACCAGTTTTGGATCCACGAATGAGAAATACTTGCAGTAGTTGATCAGGTTAAGCAGAGCAGGGGCGTCGCATTTATCCGCACCCTTCACCTTCGCCTGACCTCGTGGCATGAAGGCCTGCAGACAGAGAGAGAGAGAGAGAGAGAGAGAGAGAGAGAGAGA